GGATCGTGGTGTAACTGAACGAGAAGGATTGCTAAACTGATTAGGGATGTCTTAAGACTCAAGGACTACGCTAACCCCTTGGTATATAGTCTTAAGCACACCGATCAGCAAGCAGTTTCCCAAAATGTATTCAATGTCTCAATTTTGGCAACTGATTAACACCCAATTACAGCCCCATTGTGTGAATGTATGTAGGCTCTACAGCCCTCTGTAAACTCCCTAACCCACTGATAGAAATTATTTATGTCTACAACACTTTCCTACTTGCACATGTGTCAACTAACTGGCATTGGATTTCAACAGGTTTAACCTCCTTCCTCAGAAACATTATCACATAGAACAAGATTTATACTTGGCAGGAGCGTCAATTAGGCCTACCCCAAAATGATTTTCGACTATGACGAGACTAATCACCCCACTGGGGTGAAAACCAGCTATTGTGGTAAACAAAATAAATAACCAGATGATGGTATCTGATTCAAAGTAGCTCACTTGACCGAGATTGGAGCTCGATAGACCATAATTTACAGCACTCGTACATTTGCCAGTACAGGCCATATCTAATGCAGAGGTTTAATCAATCACCTCTGCACCTTTAACCTCTGTAGGGTTAATAGTCTTCTTTACTGTTTAGAAACTTATTCTCAAACTAACCTCCCAAGAAGTGAAGACTGGTCAATGTACTTCAAGCTGCGCTCCACATCACAGTTCCTTTGTTCCATCAGCTCTTGTCCTTCACAAATGTAGCTTTGGGTGGTCTTTAATGTATGTGATATGACGTCCCTACAAGCTCGCAGAGGTGCAAGCCCTTCTTCTTGAATTCGCATCACGTTTTTCTTTAAAACTTCTCTCCTTTTGTTAAGAGCGTCTAATACAGATTTAGCTAGATCATCAAATGCCACATCAATCTCAGTTAAACTTTCTTCAGCAGTCCCTATTACCTGTACGAGGGAAATCTTAAATTAGTAGGTGGGATTAAAAATTGGTGACCTAAGCTTTTGACTACCTATCTACCTTAAAAGTAGACTAAAAAAAGTGAAAACATTGTAATATAATCAGCTCCCGATTGGTAAACCTACAACTCATAACTTATTTTGCAAGAAAATTGTGTTTAAGCGAATCGAAATACTAGCTAACAGCCAAATTGGAAATCGTCTGTTCGTCTAGTCCTATGGTCTAGTCTTTGTCTGTCGTCTGTCAACTAACATCAGTCATGAGGTTATGTAAAATAACTTGTTATTTCGTTGTGTTTAACACACTATTTTGATGGCACAACAACTGCCTTCCACACATGCCTACCTAAATAAAATCATTCTGAAATAAGTTATTCAGTGCCGTGTTGTTTCTTAGATGTTTGTAGCACATGTAGGCCTACTTTGAATGTCTTGATTGACTTATTTTTATTCTCTTCTCTACAATTTTGTATTTTCATTTTCATTTCAGGTTCAGTATAACTTAGTTCTACAAGTAAAAGTTAGTCCGTTCCGTAATTCCGTAATGCGGCAAGCAGTAGCAGACTAGAATAGAAGGTAGATAAAGGAAATCAAAACGATAAATTACCTTAAGTTACCTTAGTTAATATTCGTCGCCTCGGAGACATTTTTGCACTGTAATTTCCAGGTCAAAAGTGAGTCTTATAAGTTACTTTAATTGGCTGCACTTTACTTGACGTCCTACACTCATTCGAATGAAAATATCGATCGATATATCGAATAATCGATTGCTTCATTCGATATATCGTTTGGTTAGTTAGGTAAGGTTAACCTAACCTAGGCCTACTTATAATTAACGTAATATATCAAGTATCTGGAGAGAACATTTCATAGGCTTACAAATAGGCCTAGGTTAGGTCAAAAAAACAAAGTACTGGTAGCCCTAAATAAAACAGCCGTAACTCCGTTAATATGTGAGAGTGAAGAAAATTTTTGCACCGTTATTTTCAGCTAAAAATCTAGTTTCTAGTGATATATAAATCTATATAGGTTCCCATGGTCACGTTCGTCACAATAAGTAGCCTACCAATAACAGGGTAGGCTCCAATGTTTTCTTACCTGTTGCTCTGCTCCAATTACAGAGTTTAAATTTCTGTCTAGCTTTGCAGAGTACTCAATTGCAGTATCCACCGTTTCCAAAAGCGTTTTTTTAGTTATATTTTCCATTTTTTATTTCACCTCTTGGTTAAATCCTGTTCACTTTAAAAACGCCCTACAATTCATAACCTATTTAGCTAGAACATAGATTTCGGTTTAGTGCCTAGGCCTACTTTAAATGAATGATCACTTTTGGATTTGGTCTAGTGCATAATGAGTCCAAATAACTTAACTATTTCTGAAGAAAGCAATACTTATTTCAATGAATCTCAGCAAGATGAGAAAAGTCCGAGTAATTACTCCACAATTGAAACTTTGCTAAAATAAAACCTCTCCGACTCCGACCCTCCCCCCTCATCAGACGTGACTCTATTCTATTGTATATTCTATAAGGTAAGGATTAGGGTAGGGATCAGGGCTAGGGAAGATTTTGTAAACAAATAATAGATAGAAAATAACACGAATCGAAAACAGACAGAAACTAACAGAACAACAGTACAGGCAACTGGAGAGAAGAAAAATCAAAATGAGCCTTTTTTTCTGCAACAGTTTAGTAGTCTAAGCACAGAATTTCAAATTAACTTGTTATGTTACTTCCTGCAACCATTGATTTAAGATCATTTTAGGTTCGAAGTGGAACGGCTGCCTTTTAGGGGTTGTGGAAGTGGACAGTATTGTTTGTTGTTGGAAATGCAAGTGCCTGTTACATTTACGTATTAAGGTTAGTAGATACAAGAATCTAGCTGAGTAGTTTTCACGGATTTCTTTAACTTGATCTTATTATAATAATTGCATAATTCAAGGTGAAATTTCGATACAGTAGTTCATGGTTGGTTTATTTGTGCACGGCCGTGGCACGGTGTACCGGTGTACCTCGTCGCGCGGACGAATACGCTCGTAGCTATGTTATGATATGTCCTACAACTACAACATTTATGTTCAAACCCACAAATAAACTAATGATAGACAAACCTCAAGTGAATAAAACTTTGGCCTGCAGGAGCCCATATTTTAGTAGCATCAAGATCTTCAACTCACTAACAAAGAACATAATTGAAGAGCAAAATACTAATAAATTTAAGAAGATGATAAAGGAATATACATGTGAAGCGGCCTACTTTAAAGTAAATGATCTGATAAATTAGGCCTATTATGTTTTTCCACTTCCAGGCGTTTTGACGACCACGTCGCAGAGGAGCGATGCTAGTGGGGCATAATCAAGTATTTTCGAAGTCATCCGGTTGTAGAAGGATTTGCTGGTTGCCTGGGGTGCGCCCGATTGTGATGTCGTTCATAGTGTGTAATGGTCACAAGGGGAGTCTCCTTCTGTGCACCCCAGAATGTCCTCAGAACCTCAGCTTTAGCGCTCAGTGTGTCGGCTGCGGAGTACGCTGCACCAGTATGGATCGCATCGTCACATGCAAAAAAGGTTGACATTATGCAGTCAATGACATGGCCCGGATTGTAACTGGGTGTTTGAAACCAACCCCAGTACACAAACTCTATCGAGGAATCGCCCCTCCACCAATCCGACGTGATGTCGCTGCCGACGCAGAAAGGACTAAGCAAGAGACAGACCCTCGTCACCCATTACACGGCCACCAACCTGCAGAGCGACGCCTTCGGTCCAGAAAGAGCTTTTTATCACGGACACGAGTACTGGTTGGATCACTCTCAAGCAATCGGGTGGCAAGGTGGGAGGCCACGTTGACTAACCCTCCCATACCAGCCAAGGAGGAACTGGCTCCTATAGTGGAGGCCTTCATTACATACGGCTAATTTTTGGAAAAGCGAAGTCTGATTTCCGGACACGGAAAGTAAGTACTGTATCAAGTATCAAGTAAATACTCTTGCGCTGCATTGAACAAATGCTTAAAATGGAGATGGTCTGGAAATGGGTAAATTAATTTCATAATGTCTGATACAAGACAGAAAACTTCGTGAGAGCACGTGTCGATGTGCCGAACTTTTCTAACAAATCTTTCAAACTAAAATGCCACCATTGTAGTTGTAGACCACTGACCTATAATAAATGATTGTAGGTATCAGTTTATCGATAAGGTTTCGTGCCACTTGCGGCAATTATTTTACAAAGTGCTGGTTGTCGAAGACACTATAATTTAACACTGTGAACTAATTTTATTACAACGTCAAAATGCAACTCAAATTTTGAAAAAAAAAACTGAGAAAAAGCTAGGCCACTTTACATTTACCTTTACCGGTTCCTCATCGTTGCCCATAGCCATAGCTGGATAGATTAATTGCGTTATGAAAAATTAAAACTTTAAAACCTAGACTATATACACGGCGGTGGATCATGATGTCCAAACTGAGTCAGGGGTTTGGGTTTGGTCACTCTTCTCTCCCCAACTAATCTGTGGAATATAGATATTCTGTATAACTCCTTATCCTCTGTTGTCAAAAAAATTTCAAACAGAACGCGTTCTTTTGAGCTTGGTTTGAATTATGTTGGATAATCACTTTTTCTTCTGATCTTTAGTTAATTCTAGCGTTATTGGCTTTGGGTGTGAAAACCAAACCCTCTTTTACCTAATTGCCCTTATAAGCAACTAAAAGAAAACACAAGGACATAAAATAAACCTTGTAAAATACATTTGGATTATGTTGAAATAAGTCAGATAGTTTTGTATTTAATTCAACACCAAATTGTAGAAAAGTAATTAATTTATCACATATGATGATGATGATTAATGACTAAAAATCAGTTTATGAAACTACAAGACATGTAATCAAGCCTGCCTTATTAACTGGTACTGAAGAATACAATAAAATGTTTTACTGAATTATACTTTCTACACAAAGAAAAAAACAAACGTCAGAACCAGAACAAAATCAAAATGTCAACAATGTCTGTCTTGTCTAATGTCACTACACTATGTCAGTAGTCAGTACAGTAACAGTATTTTCATTTTCAGTTGAGTAGTGACTAAGTGAGGTTAAGTTGTGTGATTTTATTTTAAACTTGTGAAACTGCATTATAAACTTGATTTCAAATACATAACAATTAATTTGTAACTTTATAGATTGAAGTGTTTGACAAAGTTTCAAAGGAATTAAGTCTTCTGAGATATGTAGCTGGGTAACTTATTTTCCTATTTCTGCCAAACAAGGATTAAGAGTTAGGACAAATAAATTTTCATGAAGACCATGAACTATCAAAGTGTAGCCTACAGTCGATTATTATATTCTGGTGAAAGTGCCAATTCTTGTTTATGACTTTGTAGGTGAGATATTTATTTTACTCATACATAAAAATGGGGAAGCACGAAGCAGGAACACCCAAATACATAGCCAATAAAATTAAAGCTAAGGGACTCCAAAAGCTCAGATGGTATTGTCAGATGTGTCAAAAACAATGCAGAGATGAAAACGGTTTTAAATGTCACACAACTTCAGAGTCTCATCAGCGTCAATTGTTGCTCTTTGCAGATAATGCAGACAAATACATTGATGAATTTTCAAAAGAATTTCAAGAGGGGTATTGTGAACTATTGAAACGCCAGTTTGGAACTAAACGTGTGAATGCAAATAGGGTCTACCAAGATTATATTGCTGATAGAAATCACCTTCACATGAATTCAACCCAGTGGGAAACATTGACAGACTTTGTCAAGTGGTTAGGACGAGAAGGATTTTGTGTTGTTGATGAAACTGAAAAAGGTTGGTTTGTGCAATACATTGACAGGGACCCAGAAACTATAGCACTGCAAGAAGCCATGGCCAAGAAGGAGAAAATGGAGAAGGATGACAGCGAGAAGATGATGGAGTTTTTAGAAAAACAAATTGAACGAGGAAGACAATTAGGAAATAAGGTAGAACATAAACCAACAGAACTTGTTCGGGATGAAAGTAGTGAGCCAATTACAATAAGTCTTCCTAAGTTTAAGAAGCCTGAAACAAAAGTGAACATTGTTCAGAAACCTCAAGCAAGCAACAAGAAAGATGATGATACTGCGAGTCTAAAGGCAGATTCTTTGAAAGGTCAAACTATGAAGAAGGAGAAGAAGAAACTAACAGCCCTTGATGAGATTATGAAAGAGGAAGAAGAAAGAAGGAAAAAGGCCCCTAAAAAAAACAATTGGTTAACAGAGGATATTGTTGTTAAGGTTGTTACTGATTCGCTCGGAGAGAAGTTTTATAAGAAGAAAGGAGTTGTTACTAAAGTAATTGATAAGTTTTGTGCTAAGGTACGAATGCTTGATTTTGATGTTAAACTAAAGCTGGACCAAGCCCACCTAGAAACAGTGATACCTGCAGTTGGTCGACGTGTGAAAATATTGAACGGTGCATACGCGGGTTTAGTTGCGGAATTGGTTGAAATAAACACTAAACATTATTGTGTGTCTGTTAAAATAATATCGGGACCACTGAGTGGTAAAGTTGTAAACAATGTTCTATATGAAGATATCAGCAAGCTGCATTCTTCGTAGTTTGGAATGTACCACGTTTGGTATTTTACATGTAATTCGATTTCTTTATATCTCTAAGGTTTTTTATGTGTTATTTTAATGAATGAAAGCTAAATTAGATTTAAATTTGAATCCCTAATAAATCTGTAAGTATTTTTGGGTAATTTGAGTTGTGGTCAATTGATTTACATACCTACTTGGTTGTCCATTAAACAAGAAGTTGATGTAAAGGTAGATCATTTGTGCTATTCTATATTACATAGTTTTATTTCCTACTCTTTGCATGTTTTGCTTAGCAGATGGATCGTGTATTTTTCAGAAGAGGGCCGTCACTATTTAAACTGTGGAAAAACCACAGTTTAGGCTAGGTTAATTTATAGCTTTATCATAATGTTATTGCATAAACGTATTGATCAGCGTCACCTAAATGTCTGATATAAAACAGGCCAATCCAGCAGAGTTCCGGCTACTAAAGGTAGCGGTGAGACAAGCTAATATTACGGTTGATAAGATATTGACAACTTATCCTGACTTTCAATATGCACTTAATTGCAGATAGAGTTTTCATTCATCTTTGACTCTCTTAATATGAAGTACTCATGTGAAAACAATTTAATCGTGTAGGGAATCTTTAAATACAGTAGCGGCAGCCCTCTTCTAAAAGAGACCCGATAAATTTCATACACTAATAATATCAACTAGGTACATCAAGAACGACCACAGGCCAAATTATTTACCCATTAAATATTGCAGTGCATCCTTGCCTTTGTGAGACAGGCAATCCGACTGATCCTCTTTTATAGCACACAGCCAAAAATGAAACATTAGGCCTACCTACTTGGTAATGATAATTAAATGGTTTGATTCATTCTGATACAACATATTTTTTCTAATTCGTACGCCAGTGGCATTTTGTTATAGAGAGAGAGAATACCTAAAACGTTTAAGAGAAAGTGGTCTAAATCCCTAAGTTTCTCTAATTAAGTAAGAGATTAACCCATACCTGCCTAAAGACGGGCGGCGCCTGTCCTAGACCAGGCCTGTGTTTCGTCAGGTTACGAAACACTAAAGATTTTCAGCGTCTGTCCTCACGCATAATGTATTATTATTATGCATTATTATTGACTTAGGGCCTACCTAATTTTTCCCATTTTTATTGTTAGTTGAAAAATTAATAATGTATAATCATGCTTAGAATATAATTTTACATTTATTTTAATACTCACAACATCATAACTTAGTAGGCCTACACATGCAATTTCGGTGCAAAAATTGTATTAGGCCTATTTTTGTCATTTTGCAGTTTAAAAAAATCAGCTATAAAATGAAGGATTTTATATAAACAAACCAAATAGGGACCTAAAGTTTTAACTATATATATAATACCCCCGCCGCAGCAAATCTGCAGACTAAGCGAATTTCCATTTGCCTGATTGGATTTACACTAAAATGCCTCCTGAAAAATATCACATTTATTCCCTATTTAAATAGAATTAGTTTAACGAGTACTTAGGTTTGCTGCAACAGGGAGGGTGAAGGGTGTTTTTTGTTGTAAAATGTTAGGTAATAGTTTAGCCTAGTAAGAAATGAATGTATTTTACATATTCTATCAAAATATGTTCATAAACAAGCAAACTACAACAGTTGACTTATTCCCCATAAGAATAACATAGAAATTTTAAATTTACAATTTTTTAGAATTTTCTCCGTAACCATTAGGCGCACAACAACGCTTCAATATACTAAATTATTTGTTTTTTAAGCTCTACAAAATGGAATTGGAAAGAAATTATGAAATTTTGTGTTTTTAGGGTCAAAAATGGGAAAAACCTATTTTTACCCCATAAAACCCCCCATAAACCCCCATTCCCATCATGATGTCCGATCATGATGGTTCGCGAACTCGTTCGAATAAATGTAGGTTTACATGTTTATACCAAATTTCATCAAAATCGGATCATTTTTGCTCGAGTTATCGTGCTAACGGACACATACATATATATGAATTTGAACGGATGGTGTTTTTGGCCTCTAGGGACCTCAAAACAAAAAAGTAAATCGGTCCCGGGTCCAGGTCTTACCATGAGTACTACGGTAATAGTTTATTCCCTATATGGGAAATTCGCTAAAATCCAATGTATGTTTGTTTGTTTGTCTATTAGTTTGTTTATCCTTTATGGACTCCGAAACCGCTCGACAGATTGTAATGAAACTTTCAGGCATTATTAAGCATTATTCAAGGATGGTTTGTGTGAAGTTTGGTGCAGATCCGTCAAAAGGGCTCCGCCCCAGTTGCTCTGGAGTTTCCCATGTTAACCTTATGAGTACCGGTACTCATATTTAAATGGAATTAAAGAATCTTAACAGCTGGTTCAACTAAACAATTTGATTCTGTGATGTTCAATAGCATTAAAAAGTTAATAGGTTTACCAACAGGGCGCAGCTCTACTGTATTATTTTTTAAATTTATGACAGCAGCTAATTTGCAACCAAAAGGTGAGTGAGCATAGCGAACAAACTTCAACCTGGAGGCGAGTTAGCGTAGCGAACGAGCAAAACTCCAGGCAAGTGAGCGCAGCGAACGAACTCCAACCTAAAGGTGAGTGAGCGTAGCGAACGAACTTCAACCAGGACGTGATTGAGTTACCGTATGCATCATCTTGAAAAAGAACGAGCATTTGACATAAAACCACATTAGGACAGGACAACGTCTGTCGGGCCAGCTAGTATGTAATAAATTGAAAACTGTTGACCAAGAAATAGATTTAAAAAATCAATAATTTTTGTAAGGTTTGGTTACAAAAAATATATGTTGTATATGTCTCTTTCATACAAATATTAAACTGCATATAATATATGCATTTTTATATACATATGTATTGAAAGTCACTATAAAATACTATATTTAAAATTAGTGGAAAAAGGAAATTTTATGTAGATCAATATAAACATGTTAGGCCTTCATGTTAGTGCTTCGTAAATTACATTTTACTGAGTTTTTTACTAAAACATTACACCCATTTTTACTCAATTTCAACTGTGTTGATTGCCAAATAACTCAGTCAGCAATGGGTTAAACCTGTCCCAACTACATCAAATTCCCAAACACTAGTAACAAAATTTATGTGGCATTTAGGTAAAATGCTTTATTCATGTTTTGTGAAAGAGGAAATCAGTATTTGGGATGGTAAAAATCTCACACCAAGCTAAAAAAAACACAACAAGTACCATTAGCTAAATGTTACTGAATGGATGTAGGGCTTAATACAAAATAAGTTGATTTAGTTTAACATGCTTTAATAGATCAAACATTAACATCATATAATAAAAACATTTAACTAAAACTTAAGTGCAATGAGTCATTACAATATACTATGGAGATCAAAATAAAGCAACAGAACAACATATTAACATAGTCATAAAGTAGCATTAGCAAATAGAATAGTGATAATAGCCAAGAAACATTAGGCCTACATTCAATGTTGTAAGCTCAATAGAATGCAATGAAATATAATTCAATCACACATTAGTAATTGGATTATAAATAACATTTAAAATCCATAGTAGAAAATTTATTCCATAGTAGCTATATTGATATTTTCTAACGTTCTAACAATATATTAAGTCTTAATCAGTTCTCTGAAAAACCTTGTATGAAAGCAATGTTTACGTCAACTGTTTAAGTTTGCTCTTCAGAGTAAGTATATCGCAAGGATTCCTCCAGGGTCTTGCATTTTTTTATACTTTATAAAAAAAATTAAATTTGGTACATCATATTGTTGAAATGAATAAATAAAATCAGCTGAGCCAAATACATCACGATGAAACCACCATTGAGATGAATAGATTATAACTGGAGTCACCACTTTGTTTAAAAAAGTGTACCACTCTTTTTGATGTTTTTTTTTCAGTTGTTCTTATTGTTATGTTGACCATATGATTGGTTGGTTGGATAGTTGTCAAATTTGATCCAATCAGATGGGGTTATACTTTGACAAGTCCAACCAACCGAGACAGTGTGACAGTTATAATCTATTCATCTCAATGGAAAAAACCTTATGATTCTCTGTCAGTTGTTATACTCTAACTATAAATACTTCCCATGTATCAAAATATTTAGGTCCAAGCCTCTGTTTTCCATAGTTCTACATGGTAAATTGGAATCAATCCTAAAATACAGCCGGAAAATATTAAAATACTTCTGAGTATTTTACAACTAGATACAGTACAATACATGATATTGAATGAATGCTTCATTGAATTGGAACTACCAGGTGTAAATAAGATATTTTCAAACTAAATTGCATTGGAAAATAGCATGCTAAAGAGTAAACTTAACAACTGACTAAAATATTTTCAGTTTCTCTCTAAAAGTATTAATAAACAACATTACAAATTTAAAAATATTTCAAGTTCCACAAAATTGGTCAAAGGAGAAATAAATATTGATTGATTGTAGAGGTAGCTGTATAAAGTTATAGCGTAATCGTGCTAATTGAGCGGAGCAAAGCTCTTTGGAATCGACTTCAATGCAAACTTTCTAACACATTTACTCAAGGATAAAGTATTTTTTGCGTTTTTGTTTTACAAGAAAATACCTAATTTGTATAACAGTGTCATATTACGGAAAATTTCAGAATGCATTCTCAAAAACTGCCTGATATTTGTAAAAAATGAAGACGAGCAATAAACCCCAAAACACACAAACAACTACTTCTGGCAATGTTTTGAGATAGTTGAATGTACAAAATTTAAAAAACAAACCTCATAAGGCATGGTGACAACTATTTGTGCAATTCTCTCAAAGCAGGCAAGTCTTCAAAAGGTTACATCTGCTAATTGTATGGATCAATGAAGGATTATTTCTGCCTGAATTCGAATTGCAAAATCTGGCCAAGAATGAGAAAATGTCAGTTGGTTTAGCTTCAAGGTCGGGTTCAACCAGAACTGTGGGTTCACCAGATGACATTAGCAAGCAAACACAGGAAAAATACCGATACAAAGGATTTGTATTTAATGTCCACATATACTAATGAAACTTCTTATAGATGTTGATAGTTCTGAGCAAAGCTTATAAGTTAAATTTTTATTTATTTATTGCTTTATAAAAAATCATAAAACGTCATCGCTCCGCTCAATTGGCTTTCACTGCTATGAAAGAAATCCCACTAATCCTAGTAAATATTAACATGTCCCTACTACAAAATCTTGAAAATTGTTATTTTAAAATTCACATAATCTCTACAGCTGAATAATGCACTTAAGTATATACGAACATCAAAACTTAACAAAATATGATAACAAAATGTAAAAGCATTTATTTACAAATATTGAATAACATACAGTACCAACATAATTTAACATTTTTTTATTGGATAGCATATTTTTTATTGGATTGGGTTTCTCTGTTACCGGTGAATCAATTGGTTGATTTTTGGGTAGAGCAACTAACGACTTACACATGATCTAACTTTTTAATTAATCCTTAACTAAAGTATCCATTTTACTTACAGTGACTGCCAACCAGTAGCAATGCAATAAAATTAACCCTCCAGTACACGTGCCGCGGACTCAGAGTCCACAAATTTGAAAAATCGTGTCGAAATAAGTGAATCCACGAGCAAATTACATGACCTGTCATCTACCTTCCCCCACTACCTTTCCAAGGACAATGGCGGTGTTTGACAGTCTTGGCGTCAGTTGGCCCTTAGCTACGAGTTTGTTAAGTTAAACACGTCATGTTTCAAGAGGATGAAGAACAGGCCAGCGATTGACTTCTTGGTTTTCAACATGATATTTTCAATTTAAAATATTTGTAATTATTTTGAAGTTTTTCTATATCTATTTACCTATATTTGGATTATTTGAAATGATGATGCTTGCTATTATGAACTTTATTAGGTATATAAAAGAGAGTTTCCACCAGTAAGGAGTAAGACGCGGACTGTCAGTCCGCACGCGTGTACTGGTGTTACTTTTAGCCGCGCAAGTACTGGAGGGTTAACAAAAAATGTAACGGTCAAATATATTTAGTATGCTACCAGAGGAGATTTGGCAAATAGCTTTTGGCAGCAACAAGAAAAAATTCAACACATTATTGTCTCTTCTGTGCTTTCTCCATTAAAAAAACATTTCCATGATCTATCTGTTTGTCCTAAATTGTAACATTACAATAAATAACGGTCAAACTGGTAAAACTTTCTGGATCACAACAATTAAAACCATGTATTATCACAGTTAACAATGAAACATTTTTAGCAATAAAACACAAAGATATGGTAACAGTGTTGATAAAAACTACACAGATCTGGAAGAACTATGTCAGAGAAACGTAAAACTGTTGGTAAGATAGTCTATTACTTCAGGTAACAAGTAAGCACATTTAATATTTCAGTAAAATCTTTGGCTAAATTCCTAAGGGGTTATAGGTACTACTAAAACTATAAAATATTAAACTAGGAAGATGAAAGTACAGTAGTGATGTTACGTTCAATGTGACTAGCTTTCAAACGGAATGATCTGAAAACAGAAATAAATATTAAAAAGGATTTGTTGAAAAACAATACAGCTAGGTATAAACCATAGACTAACCATTAACCAACACAAGTAGACTTCTCATCATATAGTAAAACCTGAAGCTTGTGTTTATGTGTAAGATTTGCTACAAATTTGTAAATTAATCCTAGCTCTTTAGACTTCAATTTTGGACTGAAAAAAAGTTCCATTGAATGTTTAATTAAATACCAATGAAATTTAAGATAAAAAGTCGTTACTACAGGGTGTCCACCAGGCCTACCAGAAAAATTCATGAGTAATTCCAGGTAGTTCAGGTCGTACTTTTCATACTAAACTTCCCAACGCGTTTTTGCGCCAACTCTCACAATGCTGTTTTAGCATTAACCCAGTTCGCTATTTTAGTTATAGTTATCGAAAAAAGCATTCTCAGTTAAAGAAACAAAATTTATGATTACTGTAATATTACCTGACACAAGTATGCAATTTTTATTTAATACTGATTAAATAATCAGAACATTACAAACTAATCCTTAAACCTACAATCACTAACATCTTAAAAATGTATCGAATCTCCGTACCGACACCTAAAAAATAGATTCTAATTACTGATGATTTTAATTTTACTGAATTTTCTGTAAGGGTTACTACACCAACCCCATTCTTTATGTACTTTCATATAGGCCTTATATGTGATTTTGGAGTTATTGGTTGTTTTTCAAGAAGCCTACAGAAATAATTAATGCAGATATTACGAATAATTCACATAGCCAATTTAAGTTTTAAACCCTTCTAAACACATTAAATAGCTTCCACGATAATGGTAAATGAAGATATTACAAAAAATACATATCAATAAAACTTTCTAAAAGTGTGTCATTTTGGAATTTTTCATTCGCAGCAAAATCATCAAAAAATCCCGCGGCCGTTTAGAGTTTAGATGTCATTGTCGTCTCCCGCGATCACGAAAACGTCATCGTCGTCATGCGCGATTGCAGAATATCACTAACATATCCTGCGGCTGTTTGAAGTTTGGTCATCATCATCATCTCCGGGCAACGGAAACGTCATCGTCGTCTCCCGCAGTCACGGAAACGTCATCGTGTCCCGCCGTCACGGAAACGTCGTCGTCGTCTCCCGCGGTCACAGAAACGTCATCGTCGTCTCCCGTAGTCACGGAAACGTAACCTTTATGCACGATCTTGGCAAAATCACTACAAATCCCGCAACCATTTGGAGTTTGGACATCATAAATCCTGTCCCGCGGCCATTGAAATTTCATCGTTGTCTCCTGCAGTCACGGAAACGTCATCTTTATGCGTGATCGCGGCAAATTAAAAATTCCTGGTAAAATACAACAATTATGCATAATGCCCGTTTTTCCCAGTCAGTGGACACCCTGTTACATTTACATTATAAGCCACCAAAAATTTGTGTCCGTTAATTCACTACACTACTTTTTTATCGCAATTCCGATATTTTTTAATAGTTAGCCTAGTCTATGAATATATCAGACCTAACTCAAACTTTCCCTATCAAACTTTCTGATTGTGAAGAAATTCTGGTAGTGAATAGACGGAATTGCAATTAAAAAGTAGTGGTAGTGAATTAACAAAAAAGCACCAAAATTTGTGTACCAGCACTGTGATAGTGTTTCTTAATATTTACAGACATTGTTCATAAATTAACCCCAGTGACTATTACAATATTTAAATTATTTAATAATTCAAATATTTGTTTCATATTTATGAACGGGTTAAGTGTAAGAAAGGACCATGTGGTCCTAACCTTGCCTGTGTAAATAAATAATATTTGTTTAATTTTCATTACAATGTACAATAAATTGTTGATATGCAGGGCACATGTTACTATAATGAGTAATGGCCATAACTTGTCTATTATTAAAACGTTTAAATCCAAAAGTACATACTTGGCTTGGAAGGCAAGGTAGTGTTGATATGTTGAGATCAGTCTTCATTCCCTGAAAGTAATCAAGTATTATTAGCTTTTTTTGTAAAAACTTCAATGTGTAATATAAAAAAGAACTAAAGGAATGGTAGTGACAGATTAATGTAATTAATAATGTCAGTTGCTGACTCTAATTATAATTGATAATCTAAATTAATAATATCAGTTGCTGACTCTAAATTGTCTATTTAGTACCACAATTAACCCTTTGAGGTTAAATTTTTTCATTTTTCGGCGAATATAGGTTGCCATTTGAGCAGTCGGGAAAATAGTATTCCGTGACCTACACTCGCCATTTGACCACAAAGATCTCCCTAGAGACTAAAAATTCTACTTAGACCCATAACGCACGCATTAAAAACGGATGTTTTTGCTGCAATATGACAAAAACAATCAAACATGCATGGTTGTAAACAATCAAACAAGGAATAAACATATATTAAAAGTTACTTTTGATTTTAACACACGTTTTCAGCTTAAGAGAAATCAATAATGTTTTGGCCCAGGTTGACAAAAAATTTATTTTGGTTAACAAATTATGATCGGAAAATACTTAAGTGTTGTTAAAAATACTTAAAAAAAGTAGTCTGAATTTATTTAATACATAGTTTAAATGCCTATTACCGATAACTTTAAATATTATTGAAATATCAGCCATTGTTTTAATAACTAAATCTCTGTCCCAGAACACCAACAGCTCTATTAGTTTTTGAGAGTTGTGTCACACAAAAAATATATTTAAAAATATAAAAATTTTCATTGTTTAAGATTGACTTTTGGGTGCTGAAGTAGACATCTCATCAACATGGACCAGTTGTAGCCTGTTTTTAATTCAATATGATAGTTGAATGAGCCACTAACAGAGTGCATTTTTTCTCCCTAAGATAATAGATGTGGTATAAAAGATACTGAAGCTGACAATAAGTCTTATCAGAAATTTACATCAGCTTACTGTCTAAGGCTCAGTTCAACTATTTTAATTCTGGAACTGGTAACAACTTTAACATGGGGATGGTATGTCTAGTTGTCTCAAAGGTTATATTTAACAGTTTCCCTCCTACCCGTTGGTGGTGATGCCTCGATACGGACATGGGTCCTGGGGGCACGGTGTGATGCTGTTGCCGCGGCAGACGACAGTGGGGACATGTGATGAGTCCCACATACCAGTGCCGCACAGCTGACATAGTCCTACCAGTGTACAGGGTATCACAGGGCGTTCTCGGAACTTGTACACCAACCCTCGAGCCTACAGTCCAAGACAATGATTACAAATAGTGATTGTTACATGTATTATTTACGCTTACATAAACTACCTTTAGTTCCAATTCTGTCATACAGCCTAGACACATGTAGGTATTAAAAAGAATCTTTAGAAGTAAAACTTTTAGGAAAAGTAATTGAAAAAGCAAAGATGAGACAGGAACAGAAATAAAAATCTAAGTGACCACAAGTTTTGGATAATGTGGCAACATAGATCCAAGAATATGTATTATTTTGTATTGGTTTATATTGGAGGAACAAACTCATCACTTCTTTCATTATTTCATCTTAGATTAACTGTTAAGTGTGAAAGAATATCGTTTTGTTTTTAATCAGATTGGCAAGACTACTCTAGTATAGGTCAAGTAAAAAGAACTGATGGCGGAAGAGTGTCTAAAATCAAGTCTTCTTGATTGACAGTTAATCTTGATTATCAAGATTAAGAGAAACTGGTGGAAAAAGAAGAGTTGAATCATCACAAAGTGTTCGGTCAATTTGTTTTGTATATTTTTAATAATTTGGAATGTCTTTGATTTAAAAGTCTTCCTGTGATTTCTCTCACATGACCATAAAAATATGTAAATTTTCATTTATGTATTCAATCATCATAAATCACCTCTCACAAAAACATGTACTCGTTTTTTTACTTCATTTAAACCCTCGAATTTTTAAATTCTTGTTCATAAACTACACCGCACGCAAAGGAAATGAAATGACAAGAGATCATTAAAGCTAGGAAATATTTCTGAAGGGTAAACATCTACAGCAAACTGGAAAGACTTTGCCTAAGAGACGAGGATGGAAGAGTTGCCTTATGCTGATAACTCATAGCCACTTTTTTCTGTTTCCATATTTTAATCCCTGTCTGTTTACCTATCTAGATCTTGGTTATATTCACTCAGCTAGAATATTTTTTCTAATGCAATGAACATGTTAATGTATGATGAAACAATGTACCTTGGACAAGCAATATTGCAACGTGTTGCCCAGTAAAATATTTTACACTCCTTAGTCAGATGATCCACTGATTACAAAACCATTTCACAGTATAGGTACACACTTTATTTCCAATACCCAATCTCATATTTTCAAACAACTTAGGCCCAGCGCACACGGTGTGACTGTTTTGAGAGCAACCGTTGCAAACCCGTTGCGACTGCAATCAGTTTGCAACTGAAAAAGAGCTTCTGTCCGCACACGGTGCAACTGTGTTACAACTACAGTTGCGTATATTCTGCAATCAGTGGAGTGTTATTGTAAGTGCAGTTACGTTGTTTTTAAGGCCTTCCTTGTTTTTAAGTGTTTTTAAGTACAATAACAATGTCAGACTCAGACGAAGAAGACGTCATTAGTTATTATGAATACAGAAAGCACCGTAGGGTACAGAGGGAACATTGGGTCCACCCTTATTTGAGAAATAACATCAGGCGTAGGCTGTTTGTAGCAGCTAGAGAGTTGTCACAGTCGGATAGGAAATTTAAATCTTTTTACAGAATGACAAAAGACACCTTTTTGGAACTTACAAGACTGGTTGGACCTTCCTTGGAGAAGATAGACACAACTATGAGGGAATGTGTTCCTGCACAGGAAAGAATAATGATCACTCTGAGGTAAGTTTTATAACTCAGCTTTATTGTCATTTAGAATTACACTAGCAAAGGTAATGAAATGATCAATAGATGAAAATATAATTAGACATGTGTTTACACGTAATTAGAATTAAGACTTTGAGAAAAGGCCTCATAAAAATTTGCACTCTGCATATTATCAACAGCATTGGAGATGTTAGTCACGTCAATTTCTGAGTCTCTTGATTCGGACATAGATGGGGATGTGAGCACTGTCAGAGCTGATGACGACCGTGACTGCTGATGTTGGTCCATGGCTGAAATATCATCAATGACTCTTAAAACCTGACGTTTGAATAGCTTGACTTGTGAATCACTGAATTCTTCCAATTCTGGTAGCAAGCTGAGCATGAACATCTTAATCCCCTGCTGTTTATCAATCTTCTGATTGCTAGTGTCTTCCTTGGTGTTTGACAGCAACTTAGCCTTTTTTGCTTTGAAGTAGTCAGCAACTGAATGATCAGCTACAGCTGCTGGGCTTTTGTTCTTTTTCTTCTGGATTTGGGGAGTACTCTTTGACGACAAACTTGCAGGTGTTTTTTCAGTTTGGGGTTGAGATGGCTCATCTAAAATTGACGGAGACATTGCTGGACATTCAACTTCTAATTCTTCAACTTGAGTTTCAGAACCTTCATTATCACAAATTGGCGACTGTGTTGTGCAGGGTGGTGTAGGCAAATTTCCCGATGAAGGAGGAACCACTGTTTTTATGAATGGTAGACAAAACTGCATTGCATTTTCCAAATAGTAAGCCTTTTTCTTCCCTCCTGAACCGCTGGGCGAAGGTTTCATTTTCCTCATGAATACTGTCCGTAAATTTCTCCACTTTTCTTTGCAATCTTTAACTGAAAAAAAAAATGAAACAAGAGATAAAAACAATACTTTTATTAGCAAGAACTTATTGATGCAATAAATCAAGTCTGGTTTTATCTAACCTATATTTTTTGTTTTGCTTGCAGGTATTTGGGTACTGGTGAAACATTTGTGGCAATTTCCTTATATTTTGCCAGAGGTGAGAGCACGGTAAGAAAAATTGTCAAGGAAACTTCAGAAACTATCTGGGACGTCCTGAAGGATATTTACATGCCTGTTCCTACACAAGATAAATTGAAACATACTGCTGATCGTTTTGAGCTGCTATGGAACCTTCCAAACTGCATTGGCGCAATCGACGGAAAGCACATAAGAATTGAAAAGTTTCCGCATACAGGATCTGAAAATTTCAATTACAAGAACTTCCACTCCACCGTGCTTATGGCGTGTTGTGATGCTGATGGGTTTTTCACGATTATTGAGCCAGGTTACGCTGGGCGTAACAGTGATGGAGGGATTTTCAGAGCAAGCTCGATTAAAGTCTGGATGAAGCACAGTGACAGTATCCCAACATCCCATTTCCATACTACTTCGTTGGAGACGAAGCATTTCCGCTGAGTCGCAACTTGATGAGGCCTTTTTCCAGCAAAACCCTCGACAATGTTAAACGCATATTCAATTACAGGCTGAGCAGAGGAAGGAAAACAATTGAATGTGTTTTTGGAATGGCAGCGGAAAAGTTTGCAGTGTTGAACGGGCCAATACGATGCCGTGATCCTGTAACAGTGAATAGTATTGTAAGAGCAGCCTGTATCCTACACAATTTTGTGCGTAAGCATGAAGGAACTGACTACAGTCCACAAGACGTATCAGAATGTACGAGTAACAATCTACCAGAACATCCAAACAACATTGAACCAAGTGACCTTGAGTTAGAGGATGGTGCTTCAGCGACTACTTTGAGGAGTTATCTGGCAAACTACTTCCTTTCTTCAAATGCAAGTTTACCATGGCAGTGGAAAGTAGCAGTACAACAGTAAACAAAATCTGGACTTGATTCCAAAGACTCTAGATTTGTCATGATAGTTATTGATCTTGCCATTTAAAATTAGGTGTATTTTAATACAATTTTCAATCCAGTTACTGTCATTAATTATTACCCTTTCGCCCCTTTTGTATGAGCTAATTTTTCTGGTTTGTGACCTGGTTTGTGGCAACTGGGTAGTACACTTAAATGGTGGTCTACCATACGAACGAGGCCTAACTAATATAAACCACTCCTGACACCAGGAAAACTATATGTTCAACCCTATGTTATCAATTGTATCCTAAAAAATACTGCCAATTAATAGCATACTTTAATTAAAAGACTGCTTAATTAAACAAAAACACATCACATAAGGTTTTTGTTGAAACAATAAACACAAGACATTTAAGCTGTATAGCTTACTGCAGCTGTATTCAAGCATAATAAAAAATAAATACATAATAGGTGCCTTGTTGGAAAACCAAGTAAATTGTTAATGACATTGCATATCATAGAATCAACTTATTTAGTTGAAACAGTTGTCAAAATTCTTTAATTCTTTTTGAATACAAATAGGCCTACTCATAAGGTTAACATGGGAAATTACAAAGCCACTGGAGAGGAGCCCGAAAAGATTTTTGAGATGAGAATAGGCCTATATGTTAATCGGGAATGTGAGCATTCATCATGCAAAATGTAAGCCCAACCCGTCCAGTAGTTATTGCGTGATTGAACCCAAAACAAACACACCCACACAAACTTTCACATTTAGTATGATATGATGACTCAATAAATAAAATGCATCATTATTGTTTGTCAACTCTATTCTAGACAAGTTAGACTGCCCAAATACCGTGACCTTAAGAAAAATTATCTTTAAATTGTCTTATTACTAATATAATTACGACTTTTGGACAAAATATTTCTTACCAATAGGCCTATGTAAAATTTTTTCAAGAAAATGAAGGTTTCAGATTGTAGGTAATGTGCCAAAAAAAGATATTTTTAATTTTTTTGTCAACATTTTTCAAAAATGTTCCTAATATTTCTTATTCCGTGATTTTTCAACCGAAGTCCGTGATTTATCAGCTAAAGTCCGTGGTTTTAAGCCAAAGTCCGTAGTTTTAAGCCAAAGTCCGTGTTTTCAACCAAAGTCCGTGGTTTAAAGCCAAAGTCCGTGATTTATCAGCTAAAGTCCGTGGTTTTAAGCCAAAGTCCGTGGTTTTAAGCCAAAGTCCGTGTTTTCACACAAAGTCCGTGATGTATCAGCTAAAGTCCGTGGTTTTAAGCCAAAGTCCGTGTTTTCAACCAAAGTCCGTGGTTTAAAGCCAAAGTCCGTGTTTTCAACCAAAGCCCGTGATTTATCAGCTAAAGTCCGTGGTTTTAAGCCAAAATCCGTGTTTTCAACCAAAGTCCGTGATGTATCAGCTAAAGTCCGTGGTTTTAAGCCAAAGTCCGTGTTTTCAACCAAAGTCCGTGATTTATCAGCTAAAGTCCGTTGATTTATCAGCTTAAGTCCGTAATACTGCAATTTTGGAGATAGAAGTTCCGAAAATTACCAGAAACGTCTATTGCCTATGTCATATAAAAATATACCAACAGTCTACGACCAGGAATATTATTGTTATTTGGTAGAAAAAACCAAAATCACGGAAATTGGTTTAGTCACGGTGTTTGGGTTGTTTGGGGGACCGAGCAGGTTTTTAGATCCCTAGGGCCGCAAAATCAACTGTCCGCTTACTTTCTTAAAACATAAATAAATACACAACCAGTATTGCCGTTGGTTGCCTAGCAACTATTATTTATTATTTTTTTCTAATTCTTCAATGATTTCAATGATGGCTGTCATTGGGCCGAGTGAATAAAAACAAGTAGCCTACAGCAAGTATTTACTTGTGAGTAAATACTTGCAAGTATTCATCCCTCCAAGTAAACTCTGTTTAATTTAAAAATTATAAACTTAATTAAAAATTAAAAACTCTTTAAAAATAATAATAGTTGATTGTGCATACGTTCACTGCAGTCCTAGACCTAAATTTTTAGGGGGGAATGTTCATGTTGCAGGGGAGGTCTGGAGGTCCTTCCACGCCACGGAAAAATGTTAACATTATGTGCTCAAATGAAAGATTTTTAAGCTATTTTGGGGCGTAAAAAGATAAATTACCTAGCTTGATGTACAAGCATATCATATTATTATTGAAGGTCCAAGAACTTTGTTTAGGCTAAACATGTAAATTGTAAAGGTTTTGCATTTTTGAGACTTGTGGATTTGCATTAACACATAGCTTGAACATAACAAAAGAATACACCTCCACTTCAGTTGAAAATTATTATTTTTTTTATTATCTATGTTTTAGGACTTTTGAATTTAAGGTTCCATCTTCTCCCCATGCATTATTTTGCGGAAATTACTTAAGCCATACATCATCATTTAAATAAATGTATTAGGCCTACACTATACTGAATGTGTTACATGCATTTATCAACAAGTAAACTCAAACAAGCATGGGTTACCTACTGATAAATTGTTGAAAAACAAGTATTTACTCTTTAGGCAAGTATTTGCTCGTTGTTATTCACACCAAATTTATAGGTTTATGAGGGTATTATTCCTTGGCAAGGCTTTACTAACAAGTACAAGTAAATACTAGTGTTTATTCACTTCTGTTCAAGTAAATACTCAAATTATGAAAATTTAAGACAAGTAAACTCTTTTACTCGTTTTTATTCACTCGGCCCATTACCAGTAATGTAGTGTTTGTGAGGTTATGTTGTTAACACCTGAGTTATGGTAAATAAATGTATAATATTTAATTAATTTGATCAATTGATAAGTTTACAAATAAATAAATTGATTAATTTATAACATTACCTGGCAAACCCAATTCAACAGACACATCTTGCCATGCTTTATCAGTCAAATCTTTCCTTGAATATCTTGGCAGTTTGTAGTTGTACAGAACTTCATGTTTCTCCACTTCTCCAACGAGCTTCAAGTTGAAATCTTGATCATTCATTTTGAGATGAACACTATACGGCCGTCAAAATAACAACAAATTTCCACCAAACACCACAAAAACACCCCGTGGTTTCGTGCAACTGGTTGCTGCAACGTCGGGCCCACCGTTGCATGTGACTGGTTTCAAACTTTTTTGAAAATCGCAAACGACCAGTTGCGTCGTGTGCGGCTCCCCACTGCAATACATTGCCGATGTCGCAAAACAGTTGCAAGCGCAACTGGTTTGCAACGACAGTTGTAAAACAGTCACACCGTGTGCGCTCGGCCTTAAACATTCAAAATAAACACAATGAATCAAACCTTGCGCAAAATGAGATCTCCGTCCATAAACATGGCAAGAGAACTGAAGTGCAGCAACATCTCATCAGTGCGCAGACACTGTGCGATGACGTCGTCTGCGTACGCAGAGACAATGGCAAGACAGAGGAACAGGTGGAAATAATCAGTCAGATAGTTGGACCAGCAAGCCTCCCAGATACGCAGAACTACAGGTTCAGGGAACTCACGCTTGAAGCATCTGCAGAAAGTCGTTACATTTTAGACTGGTGCAGTGAAAAGATTCCCCTATAGTGATGTCTATCGTTTCTTTGTTAAGGTGATTAGTTATTAAAATATTCTTGATAAATAAACTAATTGTGAGTAAATATTTCAATTGCATTCAGGAAGTTAAATATATCAAGAGAACGTTATCTCTACAACTTTGCTGGAAAAGCCTAGGCCAATGGTCGATTATTGCATGCTTTCACTCTAATGGTGTTTTTTTGTTAATGAGTATACCAAGTAAAATTACTGAATTACCTTAAGAACTCAAGAATCATCATCAAAGTACTTACAATAAAATCCAACGATGACAAAACAGTAATTCCATGGCATCAGTATGCTTTTGTAAATGTGTGTAAAACTCCGGCACCATTTCTCTAATCAGTTCTCGCAAGTAATTCTGTAAATCCCCAAAAGATCATTATTGAGTATGTATATGCAACACAAAAGAATATTTTTTAACCAACCATGTTTTAAATTATACTTAAAAATTTTGAAAGGTAAACACCTTAAATGTTGATCTGATAACATAAAACCTTGTCTTTGTCAGATAGCGCAGTGAGCACTTTTTTCTTCATACCTTTACATCATAGGGTGCTAGGCTTTAGTGCGGAACTGTTATCATATTACTTCAGACTAAGACTAGAGGGTTGTGGCATTATCAGTTAGATAATTCATTGGTGATTGGTGGGATTTCAACACAGCATCCCATGCACCAAAGTCTGGGGCTTGCTCCCAGCACAATAATCACTGGTGCCAATGTGTTATACAACTACAAAATCTGTTTTATTCCTGTCACTAAACAGTACACCCGCTGCATCAAACCCGCAGACTAAGCGAATTTACATTTGTCTGATTTCATTTTCACAATCTATTCAAATAACATTAAATTTAATGAGTACCTAGGTTTGCTGCTGCTGCTACAGGGAGGGTAATACAGTGTGTTTTTTTAGTAAAATATTAATAGCTTAGTATAAAATAAATTTGCCAAGTTCGATTAATATTTATCCAAAAACAAGGAAACTACAACAGTTTACTTATTCTCCTTAAGAATAACATGGGATATTTTCAGAGTTATGAGTTAAGAGCCGCTTACCAAAGTGGAACAGTGTTCTGGACCCTTCCTCTCTCTAACAGAATATGTACAAAGTTTTAATCATTTTAAACAAAGATTTTTAAAATTTCAACAGAAGCTACATTCTTATTCCTCACTACAGCAAAGCTGCAATAGAGGGAGTCAGATGAATTGTGAAGGATGTAAAGGAATTCGCCAGACATTTATTTAAAACGTGGAAGGACACATCCTAATATCTCCCCTGCCTACTCTGGGGTCATAGTTTCTGCTAAGTTTCAGTCCCATTACCTCAACTTTTTTAACCAAGCAATGAAGACAGATACATACCAGGTTTCTCTCCATGTCCGAGTCGGTCGGAGTGCAGACAAACATGCCTCGCTGCATGAGACCCACAAAGCACCAGAAGGCATCAGACTCAGTCTCAATCTCAGCCAACACTGGGGCCAGCAGATCCGACATGCCCTGAGTGTAGCCTAGACTGGCATTGTACACAGCGTAGTTCAACAGGATCCTCCTATCACATAACAAGTGTTAGTTGCTGTTATCTGTTACCAAGTGTAATGCTAAAAAAACCATTTAGTCACTAATACTGAACCTATGGAGTTTTGGATAAGAAAGATCGTAGAAGCAGAAAAGATTTGAACTTATAATTTAAAAAATATTCAGAGTAAATTAATTTATATCTGTGGGGTTTTAATTGGCATAAAAATACTATGCCAAACCCCAATAAAATACCCCTGCCGCAGCAACCCTACAGACTAAGGGAATTTCCATTTGCCTGATTGGATTTTAAATTAAATCTACCTATTTACATAACATTAGATTTAATAAGTACATAGGTTTGCTGCTACAGGGAGGGTAGTAATGTGTGTTTTTAGTCAAATACAGGGTGTTTTTAAAAGAATGCCGGGATTTCAAACGGTCGTTGCTCGGGGACTATTCAAGATAATTAAACGATTTAAACGTCAAATTGATGGGAAAAGAATACACTTTTTTCTCATTCTTTCATACAATTCGGAATGATTGATTAAAATTAAAATTTTAATCAATCTTATATGAGCGTAAAACTGGCAATGTCTGTACGCTTAAGGCGATCGGCGGGTTTATCTGATGTCTTAACTGAATCTTTTTTGGCACAAAGACTCTATATTTTATAGATAACATCATAAAGTGCCCAATTTAGGTTTGTTAAACTGAAGACTTTGTCGGGCAATCAATTTTTTCGGGCTTCTGATGCAGAATTGTCGGATTTCTTCGACTATGGCATCGCTTTTTTTAGCCGGCCAGGTGAATGTCTTTTCAAAACATTTTGGTGCCACGAAACTCATTAAACCAGCTTCAAGTTTCTTTATAATCAAGTAGATTTAAATTTAGTTTAATTTAGCAATTGATATAAACTCTGCGAACTACAGATTACAATCTGTGCCTTCTGTTGCACCGTAAACGTCGCACTGGCGACTGGCGTCAGGCGTATGAGTCACAAAAGCGGCCTAGCACCACGCACCTGTTTTACGCATACCAAGGACAAAGTTTCCTCCCTTGCTACACGGGAAACAAAACTTAGTTATTTTAGCTTCAGTTTGACGTATAAAACGTTTAGTTACCTTGAATGGTATCCAAGCAATTACCATTTAAAATCCCGGCATTCTTTTAAAAACACCCTGTATATCCAGTTATTGTGTTTACAGACGTATCTATACAGCGTGTCCTGTAAGTAAACAGCCAAACTGAAACAATAAAATTTGTCTATCTATGCCGATGACACCAACATGATTGTAACTGCCAATAGTAAAGAAAGCCTAGAAATTGCATCTCATATTAACCTATCAATGATTAAAGACTTTTTTGATAGTAAAACCCGGTAATTATATATCGATCACGGACGTGTCGCTAAAAAAAAATTTTTTCACTATTCTTATGCTAAATTACATCCTGAATTCAAAAATGATTGTCATTTTCGTCGGAAAAGCACCGTTTTCCCGGAAAAGCGGAAAAACGGAAAAAACAAAAGTTTTGCGGAAATGGGTCATGGGTATACTCAAATTAAACGGTAAAGCGAGCTGAACAAGAATATGCAAAAAATTTCAAGATCCGATTACTATTACGGAGATACGGCAGGAAAAGCGTCGGTAAATCGAGTTAGCGTCAAAATGGCCAAAAATAAGGTTAGGTACGGTTAGGTTAGGATAAGTTAGTTTAGGTTAGGTTAGGTTAAGTTAGGTTAGGTTGGGTTAGGTTAAGTTAGGTTAAGTTAGGCTAGACAACCTAATCTAACCTAACCTAACTTAACCTAACCTAACCTAACCTAACCCAACCCAACTTAACCTAATATAATCAAGGGTATAAAGAATATATATTCACCAAATAACCTCTAAATCGCTCCCACAGACAGCAGCACCTACGGATCCTCCTGATGCCGTTGTTCCTGTGACTAATGAACTTTTCCGGCCGCTCTTTCGGCCGTATCTCCGTTAATATTAATCGGATCTTGAAATGTTTTGCATATTCTTGTTCAGCTCGCTTTACCGGTTAATTCAAGTATACACATGACCCATTTCCACAAAATTTTTGTTTTTTCCGTTTTTCCGGGAAAACGGTGCTTTTCCAACAAAAATGACAATAATTTTTGAATTCAGGACGTAATTTAGCATAAGAATAGTGAAAAAAAAATTTTTTAGCGACACGTCCGTGATCGATATAATTGCCTAAAACCCTTCTGCTAAATTCACAAAAATCTAATTTTGTTACATTTACAACCAAACAGACTAAGCAAAAATTAAATCCCACAATATTCATTGAAGAAAACTTAATAGATCAATAAGAGAGAACAACTTTTTTGGGATTAGTTATTGATGAAAACCTAACGTGGAATGACAATGTAAATCTTGTAGTTAAAAAAACAACAAGTGGTTTGTATGCTCTTCGGAAAATGGCAACCTCTTGAAATATTGAAACTTTAAAAACAATATATTTTGCCTTAATCCATTCACATGTGTCTTATGGTATCTGCATCTATGGGTCAACCTCTAAATTAAACATGGATTGAATATTACTCCAACAGAAAAGGGCATTAACGGTAATTTTGAATCTAAAAAAAATCTGATGTAGTTAAAAATAATTTTTTTCAAATTGAAAATATTTACTGTTTACAGCCTCTTTATTTTTGAAACAAAAAAAGTGTAATATCTAACAATAAACTAACATTTGGTAATACTGTCCATAGCTATAATACAAGACCCCATCGATTGGTTAAACATCATAAATTAGAGTTTTTTTTTTTTTTTTTTAATAACCTATAAAGGAAACAAATATTTTGACCTTTTGCCACAAAATATCAAAAAAAGAAATACATAAATAATACGAACAGATTTTTGAATTTGGCAAAAGCATTTCTAATTCAATCAGCTTTCTTTTCTATCGGGGAGTTTTGTTCTTGACACTTTTAATTTTGACTCTTTCTCTTAATAATTTTGAATGTAATTTAACCTTATGTATTTTTTAAAAAACCTACTCACTTAGTTTTAGTTCCCATGACTCTATTTCATATTTCATGTAACTATATGTTTGCATATTATGAAATAAAGATATTTTGATTGATTGATTGATTGAACTCCGAGAAACCGGCTAATTTTATGAAAAATAGGCCTAAACAAAAGTGTGCGGACCGGTACACTGACTCGTGTGGCACAACGATATAATCTTTGTATCTTTGTATAATACTTTAAGAAAAGTATAAATTCTCAATGTTACGTGTAAATATAAATGTTTCGTTTGTCAGTGTATGTATATATGTGAACTTCAACGATAACCAATGCTATTAACAGTAATAAACAAGACAGAAAATTTGACAATGGGGCTGTTGGCCCCGAAACTATAGTCATCATAAAAAGACGACTTGGATTGAGGACGTAAACAAGGTATTTAACCTATTATTATTATTACTACTCATTATCAATCCAGGAGGCAAACATGGATAAAATGGTTATTGAAGCGACTTTGGAAAAAATGTTATACTTGATTTTCTCTTTATTTTGACTCAAGGGATCAGTACGCAAATTATGTCAACACCTTTTTCTGAACACGCTGTATAAACATATAAAAATTTGGACGAATAGTGTTTTTGGCCTCTAGGAACATCAAAATAAAAAAGTATATAAGTTCCCGCTCCAGTTCTTACCGTGCCACCTATGGTTGGTAATACCTACAAATGGGTAGCTATTATTGTGTAGGGGAGAAATTCACTAATACTTCTCTATAGGGAAATTCGCTAAAAAGTTGAATATCAATTTTTGTAGAAGTATTAGCGCAAAAGCGCAAAATTTTTGTCACCAGATATACCACTATGAAATGAGGACATTGGGTTATGTGATAAGAATTAAAGAGACCCATTTAAATCTAATATGTTTTTCGTCTGCTGTCATCGGTGAGCGAGAAAAATTAACAACTGGTGTTGTTTTGAATAGAGACGAGAAAAAAGCTGTGCGAGTAGCATTTTAACTAAAGTAAAATCTTATATCTTCCTATCAATTTTGTTTTATTGCATATTTTCACATTAAAGAATTTATATTATATCAGTGATTAAATAGTTATGGTTTGTTTTTAATAACAATAACATTATTTTTGTATACAATGGGTCTGTTTAAATGATACTATTTTAACCATCCATCACAATTAATGAGTACTTTGTTTTTTTTTAACACACCATTTTGTTTTCTCACACAGATATGTTGTAAATTAAATTAGATCTGTAACGGTTTAGTCACTGAATCTTTAAGTTTACATCTAGTGCCTGACCTACATTTCACTAGGTCTATCAATTATCACACAGGAAGTATTGTTATGGAACAGGAACTGTGTTATCAGTGAGATAAGAGAAACAATGTAACCATTATCATTTGTGTAAAGTGCAAGACTCTAGTATTGAATGTTCAAACTGAATGTGGTAACCTCTATTACCTTCGCACCTTGTTCTATTTGAATAAAATTACTTACATATTATACTGTACCTTAACATTTTTTTAAATGAAAAAGATACTTGGTTACTTTTGATTTGTCGCCAGTTAAAAACTATATTAATTATAAATTGATCAAAACAAAAAAAAAGGAAAGGAAGATAACCACTTACATTCAAACAAACGTAGAAGCATAAAATATTCAAGCTACCATCTAAATTGGTGCTTTAAACATCCCAGTGCTTTCTAAATGTAATAATAGGCCTATAATAGCTATTTTGTGCAACACAATACACCTTCTATTAAAAAATCATAATTTGATTTTACACATTTTACGCCAAACAAATCCCTGTTGTTAAAAAATCATACAGGTATCATCTTAAAAATTTACTGCGACACAATATCTGGTTGAATTGTACTTTCAGTGTGGAGCAACAATTATGTAAACTATCTACTTGACTAAATGGTGTTCTCTTTTGTGACTGTCAGAAAAGTTTTCTAATGTAAAAATAATTAGCCTATTGAATAAACGGTATCACCAAACCGACACATTTTTTTCTCCCATTACCTTGACATTGAAATTATGTGTGGATGTGTACAGACAGGGCACAATTTTTATGAAATAGGGGATGTGGGTTTTCCATGGTATCTCCTAGATGGTTATTTTTCATTTGATGAAATTTGTATCTTGATTTTTAGCAAATTTTTAAAGGATTTGTGTAATTTTGTTTAAGGTTTTAACATATACCATATATTACCATATATATATATACCATATATTTTAATAACATAGGTACCAAATTTCAATCAAAATTGTTGGAGCAGTTTTTATAAAAATTAGAGTTTTTTGTTAAATCACGAATAAACTTAAAAATTGCCTGAAGATACAACAAATTAGTTTTTTTTGTCCCACCTTCACATCCTAGGACGCTAGTTTTAGCCCGGAACTGTTTTACACATTACTTAAGTCTATCCCTAGTGGGTTGCGGCATTATCACATAAAATCCATTGGTGATTGGTGGGATTTGAACCAGGGACTTGGGGCACCGAAGCTCTGCGCTCAACCCTTGACAAGCTCTTTCCCCCTTCCCAACAGTTATACTAGTAACAGTAACTCACATCATGGTCTGCACGTGAGGGTTGCTGTCTCCCGCGTAGTACGGGTGACTTCTGTCCGTTCTTACAACATCCTTCTCTACGACACAGGTAATGTTGCGAGTGAACCTTTCCCTTGCCGCACCCTCCAAACTTTCACGTCGACAACTACAACAACGCCAACTGCCATGAAGTATTAAAGCAGATTATTCTGTTGAATATTTTAGGCTATAGTTCCCACTGCATTTAGGTTAAAGATTTACCTCTTTAATTATTACAATGAATGATAACTAGTTGAATCTTTGATGAACACTCAATTGCGTCTTTGTTAAATATGATTCAAATGTGAGTTAAGAAAGAAGGGAGATGACCTGTATGGGCTGGTTACTGACTAAGATTAGCTGTAAATGAGATTCTTAACGAGTTGCAGCAGTATCTCCATTGTATTAACAATATAGATGGATACTACATTACCATATCCTTGCCTTTTTCATTGTGATTTCTGTAATATCACAGCACAGCTATAGCAATATTTTCTCACTTACATTTTAACTATAGGCTGATAGGCTAGTAAGGGACTAAAGTAATCAAATTGATTTTTGTATGTTTCAGCTTCAGTGATGTTGCTTAATGAAAGTAATATGTCTTGTACAAATAATCTTCTGTAGCTAACGTGTTTTCAGAAAATGGTAACTAAAGATGGCTCTGAAATGTGTAATTTTTGTGATGCAAAATTTAAAATAACCACTGGTTCTGGAACAATATTAGCAGTTTTGCGAGTGTTTAGGATCAATTGTGTATAACAACTTTTCAGGCAGCATACCTTTGTCACAAGGTAACACGTAACTGATTCACTCCATCCACTACAACAGTGAATGGTGCAACATCAGGTAAAATCACCAGATAAAGGTAGGTGTTAATTGATACAGACTACTCTCGTTATACAAACACTCCATAAAATGAAACTTTCGGTAATTCCAAAAGCTCAGTCCATAGAGAATCTCTCAATATTTCCAAGTTTTACCATGCATTTTGATACTCTCAGTATTTAAAAAGCCAAGCAGAGGGAAGGTCGATTTGGAACAAAAGTAATTCCAAGTTTCAGCAACAAAACGTTCTATAGTTCAAAGGCACAGAATTCTTCCTATCATAACAAGAAACTATACATCCGGTTAGCACAGAGGCATCTTAAATAATGTAAATAATGTAATTCATGACCAATAATCAATAAAATAGGAAACAAAATAACAGATTTGTTGTTACTAACTAAAAAAAAGCTGTTGATTGTTGTAAAGTGACTAAAATAAGCTGTTTAATTGTAACGTTCTGTACCTTACATAGTACAGTATTTAATATAATTTACTCTTTGTAATTTGAATTGTTTATTTTTCTTCCAATAAATCAAACTCTTAATAGTTCTAATTTATTTGCTAGGCCCACTAATTTAGAATAATCAAGAGTCTTCTGTACTTACTTAATCTGATGATATTCGAGCCTCCGTCTCTGTAGGATGTGTTCTCGTTCCGCGTAAGTTGACTGGAATGAGTAAAAATGCAGCAGGAATGGCCAAACAGTTTTGCGTAGGTCTGGTGAAAGTCCACCCAGAAAAATTCCCTAAATTTAAAAAATCAGATTAAATTATCTGTCAAGAAAACAGAAGTATGCCAATGTTAAGTACATGACGATTTACCTCTAGACCAACTATCTATCTAGAAAGAAACTGACTCAAATCATCCATTCAATCAAAGTAAACTTGTAATGGTCAAATTTATTAGGGGGGTTCGTTTTAATTATTTAAAGACCACGAAGTGCTAGAGTGCGCTCGACAACAATTATCGGAAATAAACATGTCCAGTTGTCCACTTGTCAAGGCTCCTAGTTCGTGACTTGACCGCCGCGACCTCGGGGCGCTGACGTAGACGTGGTGGGGAGAAGCCGAGACCGGTGGACAGTGGACAGTTCTTAGGACAGTCTACGGCGAGCGCTTGTTCGCCTAACAACCTTCCTCAAGAGCGTGCAGCGGACCTGCGAGCATAGGTCGTGGATGTCGACTCGCAACGTGCGAGACAAAATACATAAAAGCGACAAAATAATAGATCGAGAGAAGTATCGTCAGACGTAAGTACAGCGGTCTATCATTGCGTTAATAATAATCTTATTTTCCCGTTTTACTTTGGCGAGTAAAAGTTAACCTTTATTTACTATCATCTTAGTTGTAAGTGATTAGCCTATTGTATTTCTCGGGCCGGCACTGCGTGTGCGGTGCCACAGTAGCCTACACTTTTTAGTTTATTTATCGGAAGTTATTTTATTTTATTTTACCTAAAAGTATTTCATTTAGTTATATTTCGAAGCCAAGAAGTTCATTGGCATATTAGCGCTGACGCCATTTCATTTTGTTATTTTGTTATTGCGCGGGTCGACCTTTTATTTCATTACGAGAGTTTTATTTTTAGTTTTATTCGAGAAGCGATACCTTTTGTTGGACTAGAAGCTGGTCACTTATTTTAATTCTCATAACAGCATCGTATTTAGTGCCGATATATTCCTGGTCAGCGCGTCGTTGTGCTGACACGCAACCATAGTCTCGGGTACGTGTAGGACGAAAACATATACGAAGATCGAGAGCGGCGAGCGAGCGACGAGGACTGCTAGCGAGAACCCTGGACTACTCCTGAGCTGTCCGAGCAAATCGGAGGTAAGTTTACGATAGTTGCCCTACCCGACATAAACACCTCACAAACTCAACAACCATAGATAGAAAATAATAAGAAATAAAACTGCATTAAAATACCAATGTTAGGTAGCACATTAGATAAGTTTTCAGATCATTGTATTCAGCCTAATTGAAGCGGTTGGTTAATATGTACGTTTCCTTATTGTTTACCTTTCTAAGTGGAACATCATCTTCCAATTGGCCGTCACAGTTGAGCATTTCCACCCAATCAGCTGATGAGATAGGAGAAACAGTTCCTTCCTCAGGGTGCAGATCACTTTCACTGACAGCTGGCCTGGACAAAGAGATAAATAAATGGTATCAGCAATCTGACACATACATTCTCCCATTGACAACAATCCTTATAATGAACAAGCGGAGGGTATCAGCAGTCTGACACATACATTCTCCCATTGTCAACAATCCTTATAATGAACAAGCGGAGGGTATCAGCAATCTGACACATACATTCTCCCATTGTCAACAATCCTTATAATGAACAAGCGGAGGGTATGAGCAATCTGACACATACATTCTCCCATTGTCAACAATCCTTATAATGAACAAGCGGAGGGTATGAGCAATCTGACACATACATTCTCCCATTGTCAACAATCCTTATAATGAACAAGCGGAGGGTATCAGCAATCTGACACATACAATCTCCCATCTATATATATAATACGCTAAGCCGATTTTTGTAAACAGAACTCCTCCCACAATTTTGGACCGATTTTGATGATTAAAACGTCAAAAAAATGGCCCTGATCTGTAGTTTTGCAAAGTGTTTTTGGTTTTTTGAAATCTTTATTAGTTTGGGCAGGATCTTCCATCAAAGTTGGGTTTCCTCCCTTAAGATTAACATGGGGAAATCTAAATAATTAAATGGAAACTTTGTCTCCACTAATTTGAGAGAACGGCTGGACGTAGAAACTTGGTAGAGGTCTCCAAAGAAAGGCCTTGGTCTGTAGATGAGTTATCAAAAGAAACACGAAGTAAATTCCCTTAGGGCTCTGCCCCAGAAGCTTTTAAAGATAGCGTGACACATTTGTTTACATTTTGGCCATGTAGATAATACTGTTTCATGAAACAGCTTTTGATTTTTCAATTGTGTTTTAAACAACACACATTTATTGGTAGTTACTAAATTGTCCAAAAGAAGTATTTGCAATGCTATTTTCTGATTATAACATTTATTTTCTTCTGTATCATGTCATGTTTTGCAATATAACATTCCATTACGAGTGGATATTCCTTTTATCACAGAACTCTTACAATAATTTCTTATTGAACTATCTTATATCTGCTGTACGGGTTGTTGTCTGCCTTTTCCCCCACTTTTGCTTATATTTTATCATATTATTATACAGATCGTCATAGGTTCACGAGATTATTGTTATACATGTTTTCAATCATTGGAAAAATTATACAAGTGCAGAAGGGCACGTTGCCCCCAGTGTCCATATTTTGCTAAATTAATAGAAGTTTACAGCAACTGGATAAAACAATTTACACTATTTATGTAGACATATCTGGCCTAAAATGGTACCTATCTTGACAGATAATTTGAAGTGATCTATATTACAGACCGTGGCTCACTGGGTTGTTAACATGATTTAAAATAACACGCCATTTTGGCTGTAAAAAAGGCACAAAGAGTAAATACTATTTAAGCAGCTACTGTCATGACAGAAAGGTCATATTCCTTTTAAACTTGATCACATCATCCTTTATAAGATACTTTTTTGCTTGTATGAAAACGTCAATATTGACGTAACAGCCAATTTACAGTATTTATTGCTTTTTGGAAATGCGGCATTGTTATGTAATTTGAATGATTTGTTGCCAATGAAGCCGCACAACCATATAAACGAGGAGGTCCCTAACAGTTTAAGAGAAAAAGCCAACTTCACTTCAAGTATATTCCACTAGATCCACTAGATCCCAACTTTCCGTAGATGAATAATTAGCTTAATCCTTGACAGTGACCGTCGATTTCGACGGGTTTCACCTAGTTGTATATAATGAACAATCACAACAGTTTCAATAACTTAGGAACCAAAATGTTTACAGTTTTGGGGATTGTACTATTTTGTGTATTGCTACAAGGTTCATATCATGCCAAATTTTAATCATAATCAGTCAAGCCATTTTTCTTTTTTGTGATCCGATTCTTATTTTATGGGTTTTTATGGGAAAATCACATTAGTTGCAATAAATATTCAACTGTAATTCAACGGGGGTTGTACCGTGCTGTTAAAGGCAAATTTTGTAATAAATAATTTTTTTTGTTTTTAGGCTAGGGGTTTTTTTTTAATGACCATTAAAAAAAATATTAAAAAATGATAAAATTCCTGGAGAAATCATGGATTAGTACCTACTACAACCATTTCATAAAAATCTGACCACAGGTGTAGTCTGTAGCTCTGTACACATCTACACATACATACAGACAGACAGACAGACAGACATAACTTCGAAAAGCATAGTGGGAGAAAGTAATAAAAATTTTATACTTTGCAAACAAGGAGATTTAAAAATAAACTTCTATTACCACAATAATTTAGAAAAAAATATAACTTTTTTGGATGAGGAACGATTTTTATTATAAGTTAGTCCAACCTATAACTACCGACGATTTACTTTTAAAGTAATCTTTCAAACTCTTCAAGATTGGGGAAACACCATGTTTAGCCTTATTTACAATGAATAACACTAAAGCCGCGTTTACACCAGAGTTTGAAACACGAGTTGCAAACAGAAATTGCAAACATCTCTAAAAACGCCCATTTTCAGACGAAACTTTTCGCTGTTGCAAACAGTGTTTCAGTGTTTGCAACAGAAATTTTTGTTTCTACTTGAAGTCGGTAAAGATCAAAGAAAGTTGCAAACTCTTTGTTTGCAACACTAGTTTCGGTCACTAAGAGCCATTGAAACACAAAACAGAAACATTTCTCCGCCATCCCCTACGCTACCACCTCCAGTCTCACTCACGTGATCACTCGCACCACCCTGTGTCTCGACTCAGTGAACCCTGTCTGAACTGCTACCTCGTGTTCGTGTTTGTTGTGACTTATCTCGTATCGTTCGTGCGTGTTGTGAGTGATGATCTACTGAGTGAGATGGAGTGAAGAGATGACAATATTATTAAGTTAGCTTGTACAGAGAACATGAAGTGCTTTGGAATCAAACTATTTCTGACTAGCATATAAAAACAAAAAACAAGAAAAACTATGCGTGGAATGACATTTCACGGGAAATTAACTTAAGCAAGGCAGAGGTGCAAAATAAGATGAGGAACCTATAATTCAATTTAACGGAGAATCTAAAAAGGGCAATAAGTCTGGATTGGGGATCGCAGGCTGAAGATTGGGAAAACCAAGTGGAAGTTTTTTTTCAATCAACGATGTTTCAATCAAGGTTGAAATTATTTCAAACATTTTAATGAAACATGAAAACAAAACCATGAAATAAAAATTGCAAACTTTTATTTGAAACTACTGTTTGCAACTGCTGTTTGCAATAAAATTTTGCAACTTTTTATTTAAAACTCCGGTGTAAACGCGGCTTAAACCTCACAGATAACTATGCGACAATGCATATCAGCTGATCGGCAATGAAGTAAATAAAACAAGGATACCAAAATATAAGCTTGTTTTGTCGTTAATATGTGTCTGACAGTACTCTTAATTTGGGTTAGCCTACGTTAAAAAAACCCTGTATTTTTTATTATGGTGAAATTTGAACTATATTGTGTTTTATGATTTTTTGGCAAACCAATAAAAGAAATGGATGAGCTTATTCTTTTAATGATAGATAGGCCTCCTAGATACTTGGATCCTACATCAGTGACCGGCAAAGTCGGAATTGATTGTGTCAAAATAAGAATATAGACTCTCCTTTTAAATTGAAAACCACAAAAAAGAGAAGAGAACATTGCGCTCACCAACCTGCAGACCATGAAGTGTCTATAAGGTGCGTCATCATTGCTAGTGTCACTCTGGACAGTGAGCAAGTTCCATGCTTGTAGCGTGTTGGCCAGCCTGTCTAGCCCTCCATGGTGGAAGTGTAGGATCTTGTACTGACACTGCCGCGAGGCAACCACCAGCTGCCCCTGTGTGGACGATGCGTCGCTAAAGAACAATCGCAACGATCTCATCTCACCTGCAAAGCAAATTATAGGAGATCTATAGTCATTGAAAAATGCTTTCTGCTTTCTAGCTAAATTAATATTATTAGAGACATGGGTGTCTTTTATTTTCTTTGAATTAGATCAGTATGGGAATTAAACATGAATGTTGTGATTTTGTTTTTACAGTAATGCTTAACTTGTGTCTATGGAGTAAATTGTCAGTTGAACATAACAGAATTGTTGACTTAGCACACTCTTGTATAAAAGTAACTTATTATACCAGAGATTTTATAAAAAATCAGATGGTGAATATATCGGATGGTATCTACTTCAGCATCCAGAAAGTTAATGGTTGATCAAAACCCATTTCCCAAATCTAATACTTACTTAGATCGACAGAAAACTTCCGACAGGTCCGGTAGGCTCTCCGGACGACTGGTGAGGCGGTAGCGCTGTCAGGGAATGTGAGGTTATGTCTCTGAGCGAGCACTTCAGGCGACACCATCCACGCTGGCATCTCCTTAGACGCAGACATCCTTCTCTCACACATTGAAGTATCACTAACACTATCTAATGAGCACGGAGGACTAGAATCGATTACTATATTTGGCACTGATTCACAACACTCTGGCTTGTTCTCATCTGGACTCTTGATGGAGTTGTCTGATGAGAGGCTGCCTCGCTTCAGACGACTTTCTATCTCTCTAAGCCAATCACTGTTGGGCACACTGCTGTGAGACTCCAGACTATCAGCCGAACTGTGTCTGAACGAATCTGGTGTCGAAATTGATTCGGTTGACTGTCTCCGCTTATCGCCACACCTGTAAGATAACAGATCTTGAAAAAGGTGTTAAATGTTTTTTCAACAGCTAAATCTTATAAATGAATTTGATCCCAATGACCATGAAATTGTCTTTATTCAACCGAACCATGTAGGGATCTCAAGTTTAATTTATAGCTTGTACGAGAGAACCTAAACTATCATAGACGATACTCTTATGTATATCTTACTGCACTCACTACTTATATAAACAGAAGTATTGAATTTCTCATGCCAGCTGACACAACAAGGACAACATACCGTAGGTTATAGGCCTACTTGACTAAGTTAGCTGGATTTAGGTTGAGGGACGGAGTTATAGAATAAATATTTAGATTTAGAATCTTCCTTCTTATCTTATGTTTCTAATAATGTACCTATTATAAATGTGTAAAATACAGATTTTAATAAATAGGCCTACAGAAAAATTAAATTGGATTTTTGTGATGGACATAGGCCTATTTTTATTTTGAGACCCTCCCAAGGCTCCCCCATGCAAGCGAGCTGGTCTAGTGATAGAGCGCGGGATTTCAATCCCTGAGGTTCTGGGTTCAAATCCCGCCAAATCAACAAAGGATATGATCAAGTGTTAATGCCGCAACACCTAAGTCTAGCCTAAAGTAATGTGAAAACCAATCCCGGGCTCAAGCCTAGCCTCCTAGGGCTCCGTCCAATTGGCTCCCTGCTTGCTTAAGTTGCTATGTTATTCTTATGTTTACATTGACATTAGAATTAATTTGTTACTAAGAACCAAATGTTTGGAATGTTTTTTGTTGATGTTTTATTTACACTGAAAATCCTTGGGCTATTTAAAAGAAGGTTATGTTTAATTAATGTTCATTCATCATTTTCATTAATTTGTTTTTGTTTTTAATGAGCTTTAGGTAAAGAGGCCCAAATCAAAGAATTGGGTTAAAAGACTTAGAAGTCTCTATTTTAATATCAAGTATGGCAATTGATTTTATTGCCTCACTATTGTCTTCATTAAATATAATTGGGAGTTTAAAAGCACATACTCATTTAAGTAATATATAGTGCTACTCACACATCAGCACCACTTATAGACCGTAACTAGAATAAATAATTTATAATAGGTAGATTAGAACATGTAAACCCGTTAACTAAATTTTAAAATGATCAAACAAAACGGTAACATTATGTTTTGATTCTAAAATAAATTATGGACAAGTAATTATTTCATGCAGTAGGTATGAAGACCCACATCGTTCTCTTCCACGTCCTCTTAAGTTACCATGGTGAAACAAGGGTATAGCTGCTACTGTAGTTTGTTAATAATCTGGAAATCTGTACAAGTTTTCAAAACTGTTCAGTAACTTACATGGTTTTTTCTTACACAATTATAGCATAGAACATAGAATTTGAAATTTTAGAATTAATTTATTGTTATGTCACTTGGCAAAGTTTTTTTTTTTTTTTGATAATATGGTCTGGTTTGAAAAATTGACAGTTCATGTTACCTACATCAAAAGTAAATATCCTTAAATCTTATACCGAAAACACATAACGTGTTGTTTGTTGGTTATTTTGGCCTACTGTAGTTCAGGGGTCGCCAACCTGTTTTACTCAAAGACCACATTGAAAATTTTTTAAGGAAAGGTGGGCTGGACCGTCAACATTTCAGTGTAGAAAGGTAGCCCTCCTCCAAATAACCCACAAAGAGGTAGTTTTCTAACTAAGAGCTCAGCGATGAATTTTGAACATTTCATGCTGATTTTTTATTTCTATATAACCTTTTGACTAATAATTTAAATTCTGTACGTTTTTGAGCACTGTGGTACCGTGTACCAAACAAAATAATTGACCAATCTCACATATTAAATGGGTACCTATACAAACTGTGTTTGTCATATTTACAATTTGTCATAACATAAGTAGGCTTATGATTAATTAACTTATTTGAATTCAAAATAAAGTTTATATCAATTAATTTTACAGTTTATTTACCATGACATTAGTATTTGTTCTATAATGGAAGTTTTTAGTAGGAATGATGATAAACACAGGATGACGCACATAAACAACAAAATATTTTCAATGTATGCCTACTAAGTTTACTTAATTGAACATTTAAATTGTAATGAAAATTAAAATAATTGATAATTGATAACATTTACAAGGAGAACACAAAATATGGCCGGGAGTGTTGCCACGATTGCAAATGACGATCACAGAGACCGCAACATTTACTTACGAGTGTTGCCGCGATCGCATATGACAATCACATTATTACCGATCATCGATTTATACCAATAATATAAAAATAATTATTTTCCAGTAGGTCAACGTGGGCTGGATTAAGTCTGTTCACGGGCCGGATGTAGCCCGCGGGCCACAGGTTGGCGACCCCTGCTGTAGGTGGCTAAAATAGGCCTAGCATCTTTCTTTCAGAATCCTTCTTTCTTTTTTTGGAAGACCTATCAGCTCAAAGAAAGTTAAGTTACCTCGAAGCAGAGAGGCTACGTTGCTCCACTGTCGCAGGGTTGCCTCGAAGCACCTGGTTGGGTATCCATGCTAGCATCAAAGTTGGTCTGTTGGTAACACTGTTTGTCTGGCACGTGAGTGTTAAGTAGCCAGGATGATGGATGATATCTGTGTCTTGTCGTAGCATCGTAGGTGGGTGAACGCAGACATTGTTCTTACCTGTAAGATCCAAATCATTGGATTTTCACTAGCTAACAATGTTCCCTTAAAATTGTCAGACTAGGTAATAATATTAGGCCTAATTTAAATAACTTACGAAAGTATTTTTTTAGTTACCTTATTACCGTATCTTCATCTTTTACCCAAAAGGAATTGATAGTGTCAGACTTTCAAATTCACAAATACCATACATTAAATACTAAATATAAAACACATATAAAACAACATTGGCATATAGGCGGATCAGTCAGAAAATTCTAGAAATTTGTCTTCAAAACATTCTTTAAAGAAGTAGTAGGCTCTTGACTTGAGTAGAGGGACCAGCTTCTTTGAGAAAAGATTATGTGCAAGATGTTTGATAGAGTTCGGCAGCTTGTTATAGATTATTATTGCTACTGTGTTATAATTCTTCTGGGCTCTCGCTAGTCTAACCCTGGGCAAATCAAGTAATCCGTGCTGCCTTGTTTGGTGGTCATGAACCGCTGAACAAAGTTGAAATTTGTCGCAGTGGTCATGGATCAGCAGTCAGCATACCAGAATGCAATGGCTATATATATGGTGAATATTCCCAGACTTGCAAAGATGGGTTTACAGTAGGCAAGGCAGTCACTAAATGTAATAGGTAATGTCTTACATCACGTTTCTGGATCACTAATATATCTTAAAAATCAGCGGCATGACCTCAAAGTAGTAGGCCATAGCTCACATAGCTGCCATAGACCATGGCATGATAGATGTTTAGCAGGTACTGTTCAGTCTGGAAAATTACGCAGCTGTAGCAGAAAGCAAACCCTACAAAGTTTGCTGCTAACTATGTCTAGTGATTGTGACCATGGCGTGATAGATGTTCAGCAGGTAGGCCTACTGTTTAGCCTGGAAAATTACGCAGCTATAGCAGATAGCACACCCTAGAAAGTTTGCTGCTAACTATGCCTATGTGACTGGTCCACTCCAATTTTCTATCCAGATCGAATCCAAGGAGTTTAACTGGTTCATTAGGTGGGGCATTTCTTTCCAGACTGCAGACCAGTGTGTGGGTTTTATCCTGGTTGATCTGAAAACCATTTTCTACAAACCAGAGGGATGCTACGGAGAGATGATGGTTGGAATCTGCAGTGGACAGCTGAACTTGGGGTCCCCGTGACACCAGGGTTGTTTTGTCAGCAAAAAGCACCACCCCTCAATCTCTCTATCAAGCTCATTGATCATTACCAGGAATAACAACGGACCTACAATCGATCCCTGAGGGACACCATACCTGAAACTCTGGGCTTGGATGTTGCGCCCTCAGAAAATATAAAATAAGCAAGTAGATACCACCGTCATAATTATTGATCTGCTGTGGGACTTTAACAGATTTGATTATATACACTCTGTGTCATCGTAGAGGTATTTTGCAGTGCTGAAAATATCTTCACTGCATTTTCATAATTAGTCTGCCAAAAGGATAAAAAAAAATAAAACTCTTTACTTCTTATAACATACAAGAGTAGGCTCCAATGTAAGCCAGAGAACCCTGGTCTATCAACTGCTGGTGGGTCGTTTACTGGGATAAAAATATGTGTTTTACTCTTTAAGTCTGCTGTTAGCAAATATCCCTATAGGGAAGTGGCCATTACGTAGGTGGGTGGTGTCTGAACACTGGTTAGTGTCTGGAGAAGTTCAGTGTTATAGCAACATTGGCGAACTCGATCTTTTTGTCATTTTTGTAGGACAAATCCTAGTGGCGGTGTCGCCATATATGTTAAGCCTGGTCTTAAGTGTGCAGGTTTGGATCCAAGCAACTACTGTGAAGAATTTGAGGGTGAGTTTGCCTAGTAAATACATAGTTTTACTACTTTGGTTTTATTACAATAGGCCTAGGGCCTAAATAACTTGAGATTGGGTACAGTTTCGTAACTGGGCTATGCTAATATTGATTGAAACTATATTGATTCGATAAGTAAACCTTCAAGCAATTTGTTCACTATCAGCAAGTTTGGTTGGTTAGGTTAACTTAGGTTATGATAGTTTAATTTAATAATCTTATAGCCTATTTAAAAATATCAATTAGGCCTATTAAGTTAATCAATATTTTCAATTCATAGTTTCAATGGTTAAAAATTAGCATAGCCAAGTTAAGAAACTGTACCCCTGATAGTGATATGATTACCTGGGTGACAAAAAATATGCATAAACTTCAAATAGTCCAGGTAAGTAGTAAGCTATGCAAAATGATAAAATTTGTACTTACAGAATATGATCTCCCCTTCATTAGTAAACTGGCATTGCTGAGACTCATTCTGAGACCCAAGAATATAATGTGATGCTTTTTTGAAAATTCCCGATAAAGACATAGCCCAACCAGAATAAAGTTAGTCAGTTTATTTCTTCCTTAAGTAAGTTTATGTTATATAGTCAATGGTTTATCTCAGCCTAGGCTAATTATTAGAACTAGGCTAGGTTGTTTATAACATATTCTAAAGTCAATATGTTAACTACTTCCAACATAAAATCAATGATAAAATTCAAGGCGATAAATTTAAACAAACTTAAGATAGGCTACCTAACAATTTTCGTGATGTTGAAATAGGCTAACTGATAAAGATGATATCCCCCAACTTGGAACACTACCATATGTTTGACATTTAAATGCAATACTTCATTTTGTTTATAGCAGAAGCAGAGCAGAAAGCACTGCGAGCAGGGAATGGGCACACGGGAGGGACTAAGGCTAAAGGTGTAGTGACGTCATATCTCTAGTGGCTAATTTCTTCTCGACCTCGACACGATTACCCTAACGAAACGATGTGAATTCAGCGGCGTTAGTGGCGTAGTTGGTAGCGATTCGGATTAATGTTCTGGGGGGCCCGTGTTCGAATCCCGCTGGCAGCACTAACTTTTTGTCAACAAATTTTTCATATCAGCAAGTTTGGTTGGTTAGGTTAGGTTATGACAGTTTAATTTTATAAAACTAAATTTTAAAATTAATGTTATAATTAATTAAACATTATAAGTAATCATTAATTACATTTTTATCTTATATAGTTTTTATATTATCAGCAAGTCTGGTTGGTTAGGTTATGTTATGACAGTTTAATTTTAAAAATTAAAAATTTATTTTATAATTTTAAAACAATATTTTATAACTAAAAAGTTAATTTAATAACTAAAAATTAAAAACAATTAATTTAAATTTTTTAAACTTAGCAGTTCTAGCGGCGAACGCTGACACTACAAGATATGTTTATGTTAGCCTTAGTCCCTCCCGTGTGCCCCAACGCTGAAAGCAGTACAGTAACAATAGCTAGGCCTAGTTTCTCACGACACGTCACGACCGTCTGTTTGTAGAAACAGAAACTAGGATGACAGCTGGGCTGCGTCCTGTTACTTTTATATAACGGTTGTGAGATGTAACGCTAGTTGTAGCGGGGGTAGTTGTTTCTGCGATGAAGGTTGAGTGAGACCAAGATGGACAGTAAGGCGAGGCCGGTGACACACTATCCTGTTTCGCCGGTCCGGTTAAACGGGATCAGTTTGGCGGGACGATTCAAACTCATGGGTTTTAATGGGAGCTGTCACATTGATGCAGTAGCGGCGCGTCGATGGGATCTACTGCAAGGTGCTGTAGCGTGGCGGGACGACCGGATGACGACGTGATGAAAAGATAAATACATGTAGTTAAATAAATTATGCCTGAACCAAGCCAAAACTCAAAACATCACTTTCAGTCTATCTAGGGAACTGAGGGAAGAAAACACTGTGAAGCTGCTGGGCTTCACCCTTGACCCTCAGCTTGATTGGAACGATCATATTGAAATCCTGTGTGGTAAGCTAAGTCGTGTAATCCATTTGCTCAGACGGTTGAAGGCTGACATGCCATTTGAATTTGTTCGTCTTGCGTACTTCGCTTTTTTCCATGCTCACATTCTGTATGGCACTAGGCTCTGGGGTCACTCCCCTGGAGTGCAAAAAGTCCTCAAACCACAGAAGAAAGCTGTCAGGGTCTTGTGTGGAGTCCATCAGCTGGAGCATTGTAAACCTCTGTTTGTTCAGCATTGTATAATGCCTGTACACAATGTATTTATTTACCAATGCCTGTTAGAGATTAAGAACAAAGAATCAGCTTTTCCATTGGTTAATAATGTTCATCATTATAGCACTAGGAACAATGAAAATATTTTTAGAGATAGAGTTAGACTAGATTTAACTCTCAACTGTTTTCCTTTTGCAGGAATAAGGTTCTACAATGCCTTACCCAAAACTGTAAGACAACTCTTACCGAACAAGTTTGCGACCACACTAAAAGCTTGGATGCTTGCCAATCCATTTTATTCCACAAAAGAGTTTTGAAATGCACAGCTTGTTACAATTGGGTTGAACCCACATACAGTAGTCTAGTAGAGGTACTACGAAATTTTAAATTTATTTTTTTCTGCCTTGCATGGCTTGCAGCTTGTAGTTTTATTTTTTTTTAATTTTTAGTATGCATGCATTGGTTTTGCATGTTTTATATAAATTATATCCTGCATGCGTTTATTTCTGCATTGTTATTGTTTGACTTAGCCTATTGTCTGTACAAACTGAATGGCCTAATAAATCATTTGAATCATTTGAATTTGAAATGAGTGCCGTCACACTGTCCTGTTTTCCCGCGCGCGTTTAGCATTTTCAACACGGACAAGTTTATCGCGAATGTGTCCACGATCTACTTGCACTGTTTGCTTGCTTGCTTGTTGGTATCCCATTAGTAGCACGGGTGTGCCATGGTCGTAAAAGTTTTGGCCTATTCTTGATTTAAAAACTCTTCTATTGAGTAGTAAGGCCTAGTAGTTAAATATTCTTTTAGCTTGGATTTAAACTTCTCCGCATCTTCAATTTCCCTTATGCCAGCTGGAATTTTATTGTAAATTCTTATGCATGTAGGTCTTGGTCCATCTCTCACTAAACTGGGTCTGACTTAGGGGAGGTACAAATGAGGCATTTAGTTCAAAATTCCTCCGTGAACAGCGCTGTAGTAGAGAGCACTTTGGCAATGAAGGTTTACTAATCGCAAAAATAGTTCTGTTCATAAAATAAAATTATAAATGCCTCAAATTCAATTTTACTATTTTTTTAATTATAAAATTAAACTATCATAACCTAACCGAACTAACCAAACTTGCTGATAAAGAAATAATATAACAAAAGTTTAGTAATCGGAAAAATAATTCTGTTTATTAAATAAAACTAGAAATTGCTCAATTAAAATTTTATAATGACTTAATAATAAAATTAAACTGTAATAACCAAACCAAACCAACCAAACTTGCTGATAATAAAAAAATCTTGGACAAAAAGTTAATGCTACCAGCGGGATTCGAACCCTGGACCTACAGTATATCAGCCCGGCACGCTAACCAATAGACCACCGAGGCCGATGGCTGTTGAACGTTTTGTTACGGTAATGGCGTTCCCTCAGCTAATAAGAAGCCCTCAGCTGTCATCGTAGCCTCTTCTATACCTCCCCTGAGTAAATACCCACTAAACTGGATGAAACTTGTGGTACATGTAACATTTCCTTCTGCCTCGTTGAATAGTTATGGATTTGTTGATTTTTTGGGAAATGTTCTGGCTTCCTTTTAACTGTCACTGCAGACTCAAGAATGAACAGGAGCTGGCAGTGTGAGTATTTTCAGTTGTATAAAGATTGGTTTACAATGTGATAAGTAGGGTTCTCTCGCAATTGTTCTTACTATGCGTTTTTGAAGCAAAAATATACGCTCCGCTAAAGGACTATTCCCCTAAAATATCACACCATAATTCATCATGCTATGGAAGCATCCAAAATAAACTTTCAACAGTACAGCTTGATCATCTATAAATTGCAGCCTACGTACCATGTGACACACAGCTTTCAGTCTTGCTGCTGTGGCGTTCACTTGGTTCTGCCATTTTAAGTCACTATGCTATTGTCAGACCAAGATACTTAATAGAGTCATCTACAACGATACTAGTTGCCTCAAGGCGAAGAGTGGGGTGCTTTCAGGCTTCTTACGGTTGTAGAATTGTATAGCCTTATAGTTTTACTCCTATTCAGTATAAGATCGTTTTCTTTACACCATCCGCTCATTTCATTTAGGCCAGTTTGTGCCTTGTCTCTTAGCCTACCTGGAACGTTTGGGGTGCAATGACTTGAAATAAAAACACCATTTGGGGAATTAAATAAAACCCGGCCGACTACATGGTTACGGTTTGCTGGAATCTTGAGGACTGGTCAGCAAGGAAACTTTTGGAACGGCGGTTAAACGTGGAGGGAATAGTGGCGTGATGGGTTGTAGCCAATCCGGGAGCTTTATTGAAATCATACGATATGACGTCACAGTCGCCTGATCGCAGTCAGGACACAAATGCAAAACATATTGCCAACTCTTTCTAACACAAATCTAAATATCGTAAAAATGGCAACATTATGGTACATTATTATTGTATACACTACATTTCCTCCCCTTTAAGTTTAAAATATTTTTTTCTTAAAATACGAAATTTTATCAACACATCAAACCAATTAAATAATCATTAAGTAGCCTAAAACAAAAACACTTTTATAAAACAATATTGTATGACTCAATCAAATAATACAAAACAATAAACATTAAAACAAAACAACCTTGATAAAATTGGAAACAAAACACAGAAATAAATATTTACAAATTCAACCTTTCAGGAGGTTTTATTTCTCTGGCAGATCGCCTCAATGGCGATGCTTGTTTTGGTCGATCAGCTGATCGTACAGGTGATGTAAAGGTCACGTCCGGTGGAGTAAGCGATGAGCGCGTACTACTACGTTTACTACGTCCTGGAGTACGAGGTGTACTCGGCATTTCCGGTCTCATGGGTGAAGCTCGACCAGCTGACTGAGCATTGTTACCAACATCCTGGTCAAACATATGTTCAGCTGGAGGCAACACTACCTCTCTAGTAATATCATTCTGTTGATCATTTAAATTTACCTTAGTGTTTAACCCGACCAGCTGGTCAATATGGCGTTTCCATACAATACCTGAGTCTAATTTTACTAAATAAGATACAGGACTTAACACTTTAATCACTACACCTTGTGTCCATTTATTTCTTCCCCTGTAATCACAAACTAAAACAGGCTGTCCTATTGACAGTTCTCTAGTTTGACTTCCCCCTTTGTTTACAATTTGTTTGTTTTGGTTTGACAAAACCGTTTTACTAACAGAAGGACGTATCAAATCTAATGTAGTTCGCAATACTCTACCGAACATTAGTTTGGCTGGAGTTTCATTGGTTGTATTATGTACTGCATTTCGATATGCCAACAAAAATCTACTTAAAGCTAAGTCTGGATTTTGATTTGAAAACAAAGCCCCTCTTATTCTTTTCTTTACTGTTTTTACAGCATTTTCCGCCTGGCCATTACTAGCGGGAAAGTAAGGTGGTGTCAGCGTATGCCTAACCCCATTAGCTTTAAGAAACTTGCTAAATTCACAGGATGTAAAAGGAGGGCCATTGTCTGTGACACACTGTTCCGGAATTCCAAACCTTGCAAACATAGGTCTCAATTTATTTATGACTACTTTGGCAGATGTGGAACTGACCTCCTC